GTTTATCTATTCACCTACTGAAAGATACTTTGGCTGCTTCAGACTTTGGGCAATTACAAATAAAAGAGCTATAAACATTCGTGTGCACATGAATCTTCAGCTCCTCTAGGTAAATACCAAGGAGCTGAATCATAAGGTAAAGGTATGTTTTCTAAGACGCTGCCAAACTGTCTTTCAAAGTTGCTGCACCATTTTGCACTCCCACCAGCGGTGAATGTGAGTTTCTCTTGCTCTACATCCTTGCCAGGATTTGGGATTGTCAGTGTTCCAGATTTTGGCAGTTCAGGTGTATAGTAATATTTCATTGTTTTCATTTGCATTTCCCTGATGACACATATGAGAAGTATCAACTTGTATCCTTACTTGCCATCTTTGGCAAGGCATCTGTTCAAGTCAATTTTAAAAATTTGATTTTTTTTTTTACTGTTGACTTTTTAAGACAGTAATGCAGGGTGCAAGAATGATAAAAAAAAATGATACAATATCTTTGTATATTTTGGATAACAGTCCTTTATTAGATGTGTCTTTTGCAAATATTTTCTCCCAGTCAGTGGCTTTTTTTTACTCATTCTCTTGGCATTGTCTTTTGCAGAGCAGAGATGTTTAATTTTAATGAAGTCCAGCTTATCAATTATTTCTTTCATGGATTCTGCCTTTGGTATTGTAACTAAAAAGTCATCACCATGCCCAAGGTCACATAGGTTTTATCCTATGTTATAATCTAGAAGTTTTATAGTTTTGCATTTTACATTTAGGTCTGTGATCCATTTTGAGTTAATTTTTGTGAAGGGCGTAAGGTCTGTGTCTAGATCCATTGTTCCAGCACCATTTGTTGAAAATACTATCTTTGCTCCATTGTATTGCTTTTGCTCCTTTATCAAAGGTCAATTGAATACATGGAAGCCTTGTGAAGCATAGAAATACAACTGGTAGACCTATATAGAAGACTGTCAACAGGTTGCTATCCCAGTGCCCATAAGCTCTATATTACCTAGTACCACCTTCACTTTGGGGTAAATTGTTTGTAGCCAAGAAAAGAAAATCAAACATCCTGATTTGTTACATTACAAAGATATTCCAAATATCTGTTACTTATTACAGTAAATATTCCACATGTAGTCAGACCTCCTTCAGAACTGAGGATGTATTCCCTGGAGGCTAGGGGTGCTACCAGGAGAAAGTTCTTAGATAACAGTGCCCTCTGGGGACTCAAGCTGAAGAGAGCCACTTTACCCAAGCTCACAACCACTTCCCAGGGCAGCCTGTACACAATGACTGAAGAATGTGGGAATATAAGGCCCAGTCCCTGGGTCTCAATGAGGGACAACTCTGAAGGATCATCTCAGCTTCAGAATGCCTGAGGCTTTCATTAGAAATGACTGAACCTCAGTTTAACTTCTCCTGCTGCCAAACATTCTCCCATGGCTTCTTTTCTACACATGTTGACCCCAAGAACAGTCCCTAATAAATTTCCTCAATGTTGATCTCTGTGTCAGAATCTGCATCCTGGAGAACCCAACCTACAACGATTAGTAACTGAATGTCTCATTGAATGACTATCTTATTGAGAACTAAGAATGGAGATAACAGAGCTAAAACTGGAGTTCCTGGAACTAGATTGTAATGCAGGGTGCAAGAATGATAAAAAAAAAAAAAATGACTCTAACGTCTCACTGTCTGAACAGTGGTTCCCCACCCCCTTCTCTCTGCAAGAGGGATTGTATTAATTATTGGAGAAGGGGCTGTATATTATAGGGCCCCAAATCCTTCAAGAGTTGAGCAGCAGGTAATCCTAAACAACTCTGATAAATAGCTGAAACCCCAACCATATAGCCTAGCCCCAAAATGATCTGATTATCTTTCCTAACAAGGCTACTTACGTCTATCTTACAAATGCAGGACAACAGAGCGAGCAAGCTTCCTACCCTGCAACATAGGATCTCCCTGCTCCACAATCTCCCGTGTGTTTATCAGACACCCTGACCTCCTCTGTTCCTTCTGAGGATGCAAAGGAGGAAGGAAGAGCGCTGGCTGCTCCTCTCTCACTGACACTGGCTTTATCCAGCTTCCCTTTCTCCGCTGGTCCATGCCTTCCCCCATGCCGGTGTTGTGAAACGTATCTTGAATCTTCATGGCTGACACATGGCAGCCTGGACGGGACTCTCCTTGTACAACAGACAGTGTGACCAAAGGCATGAATTGTGCTTAGAACCAGTTATGACTTGTTTGAAATGTCAAAAGGGGTTGATGGCTACACCAGGGATGAAAATTATCCCTGCCATGGAGAAAGTTCACTGAGAGAGCCAGTGGATGGGGTGACCATGATGTCTGAGTGTCCCCAGAGCCCAAGGGAAGACAGTCTGGGGTGAGAAGTTGTCAGTGGCTGAGCAGAGCTGACTACTCACAGCAGTGACCCTGAGGGCTTCTTCACAGTTGCCAAGACAACAAGCTAAATGTTACAGGGAGTCGCATCCTCATTGGAGGAACGGCACCCAGGTCAGCACCCGCGGTGACCACTGGCTATTGCTCCTGGCAGGAGGGACTGAACCTCCTAAGTGCCCCCAGGTCTCCAGGGCTCGGGCAGGCAGAGTTCACAGGAAAAGCTGCATCCCCATGCAGACAGCCGGGCTCCAGGATGCCCTGGTCTTTCCCACAGTCAAGGTGAATGTACCTGGCTTTACAACAGGGAATAAAGGGGCCAGCAAGACACTGCTCTGTGAGATGCTGGAAGGATACCCATTTTATTCGCTGTGACCCTGGTCTCACCCATTTCCCCTTCTCCCAGTAGAGGCTACTCCCTAACTAGAGCGATAGGACATTGCCGAGTTCATCCCAGATCCTGCTACATGATAAGTGAAGGCTCAGACAGGACCTACCTTGCCCCACAAAAGGTCATCTGGTACTTCTTGTAAAAATAATTTATAAGCTTAGGTATCGTTTTACCTTTTAAGACACATTCACATGCACTAACTCAGTAAGCCCCACATCAGCCTAATGAATTTGGCAAGGGACATATTATATAATCCACACAATTTTCAGAAAGAAAAACTAGAACACAAGATTGGATAAAGGACATTTTCCTTCTTGATTTATGAAAAAAAATGTTACAAATACAGAGAACTTGAATCACAGCTACTTATATACGTAATGAATTATCTTTTTTTTTTTAAAAAAAAGATAAAATTAAATGAAGCTTGTACTACTACTACCACAGAAATTCCTGCAAATAGGGTCAGCATAATTATAGGGCACGAAATAAACCTTGCAGCTTACTTTAAAACTCCCTTTGATAAAAGCTTTAGGGAGAGAGAGGTCACATGTTCAGAAGCTTAGATGAGAGGAGGTGGGAGAGCAGGAGTTAGAGTTAAGAGCAAGTGATTGATAGTAGAGAACATATGAGACAGTGACTGGGAGTTTGAGGGAAGGCAGGGGCTCCATAGAGTCCGGAAATGCAAAAGCAACTTTTACAATGTGCTCCCAATACACTGCATGATGTGGCCACCCATGACAGCTGGGATGCCTGGGACAGTGGGGAGTGGCCCCCCCTCCTCCAAAATGCCTGCTCCACTTCCCTTCCCCATGGAGTAGGAAACCATTCAATCAAATAAGGCCCATTCACTAGACACACATCTATCAGAGGCCCCCTAGGTATATACTGGGAGTCAAACAGGTATGAGCCCCAGCTTAGGAAACAGACCCACTTATTACTCCTCACACTAGAGTAAGATGGGTGATTGAGATGGGATTTTGAGCCTTAAATTTTAAAAAAAATAATTATTGGTTAATTCATTGTCTTTTCATTGGTTGAAACCTGCACCATCTGCATGTTCAGGATTCCGTTGGAGACTTAGGTGCATACCATTTTATTCCTAGAAGTAAAACCAAAGCACCTAGAGAAGCTGGAATAATTATTGAATTAAAAATAATTGAATTTATTGGGGGTGGCACTGGTTTATAAAACTATGCAGGTGTCAAGTGTACAACTCAACAAAACATCATCTGGACACTGCATCGTGCACCCATTGCCCGAAGCAAAGTCTCTTTCCATCCCCCTTTAGCTCCCTTTTATGCACACCCGCCCCCTTTCCCTGTGGCTATCACCACACTGCTGAGTGTCTCTATGTGTTATCTAGTCGCACTGTGAAGTGCATGAGTAATGGCTGCTTTATCTGAGAATCAGCCAACAGCGCACTATCTACACAGCTGCATATAACTGCTGCTTATTGGGAAGGGGGATCGGCCCGCTGAGTCAGTTTCACCACAGAATTAAGAAGGGACATGAGTTTTATTTGTGCTGATTTGGAAGCTCCCTGAACTGTACCTTGATTTTTGAACTGCAACGATGTGTCACCAAGAGGCTAAGCAGCAGGGCCTCTCTGAGTTATGGTAACGCTTTTCACAGACTCACTGGTCCTTAAAAGTAGAAGGGAGCCCAGAGACTGCCTACTCTGGCCTTCACACGGCGCAGGAAACCTTTCCCGGAAGCTTTGCCGAGTTGGCACACACAGGAGGTAGAGTTTCATGGCTTCTGCACTGAAGGGATCTACTTTGGTACAAACACTGCCGCACATTGCATCCTCAGAAGAGCGCAGCCACAGGGGGTCTTTCCAGGGTACAAAGCTACGTCTAGAAACCCTGGAAAGCCCCCATGCCACCTCTATGTAGGACATGCTCATAAAGCGGATATTTTCTAGCTTTAATTTTTGTAAACTCTCAGGTGAATTAGGCTAAATATCCCCGCGCTTTATTCATAATTGCTACAGTAGGTAATTTGTGGCTGCGGCAACAGTAATTTAGAGTCATTAATGAAAATGAAGTCTAATTTTAAAAAAACAAAACAAAACCCAGACATGTAAATTCAGGCCAAGGTAAAAACACAGAACATCACGGGTGAATTCTATGTTTTCTTTTTCTGCCCTAAAAGACAAAGATTACTTGGATTGCAATAAGAAAACAGTACATTGTCACACAGTCTCCTGGTGTCCTTTCATTGCACGTACCTGCAGCCCTTCGATGGCCAGTCTGAGAATGGAAGGTGTCAGCTTGGAGGCTTGTTTGAAGGAGAAATTGCTCCAGTCTATGATTAAAAGGAACCCGTTGATCTGAAGCTCCGGATCTTCAATGAGGACTTCCAGGGACAGCAGGATGGCCCGCAGGATGTCCGTGAAGGAGTTCCTGCAGCCAGAGCAGAGAGGAGAGGCTGTGCGTGAAGATGAGCAGGCGATCGCACTTTGCTGGGGGCCCTTGGGCCTCCTCACTCCACTGCTGCCTGAGCCCCGCCTGCAGGGTAACAGCGGTGTGGTTTGTACCCCAAGTGACCAAAAACGCATTTGCTAGACTTCCCAGGAAAAGGCTCCAAGACTCACAGGACGGAAGCCTCCCTGTGATCTGACTGCACCAGGACCCCAAACTTTAAGAGGCGTGGCTCTTTTGGTTTCCAGGGGTCTCTAAACTCTGCCTACACCACAGCCCTGATTGTCTTTCATGGAAATGCATCCCTTGCTTCTCTATTCCCACACACAGTTCTAATCTCTTTCAGGGCAGGGACGGGGGCCATAATCATAGTTGTGTCCCAGTACCTGGCTACTCAATGAATCATTGTCGAACAACAATGAATCATTGAGACCTTAATCAGAGGTGCTTATTTTGATTAAACCCCTTATTCCTTTTGTTTGTTTGTAAAATCTTGCTGAAAATGTAAGAACAGCCATATAGTTGATGCTATTTTTTAGATGCAATTCATGGGGGCGGGGGGGAGAAAAATAAATCGTGAAGAATAGCTTATTTTCATTGACAGGGAGTGCTTCGGGAAGGAAATTGCTTTGAGTCCATCGGTAACTATGACAACAAGAGACCTGAATACAAAGGAGAGTGACAGTTCTCTGGTGTTGCATGTGGTCCTTCACATCCTATATTCCCATTCACTAGTTGGTTTTTATCTTAAATAATCTTCAGACATGAAGAAATGATAGCATATTCACTCTTCTACTCCCAACACATTATTGGAACTACAAACTTAGAGGATTCAGCATCCTTTTAATTAATGTATTTGTTTGTTTTTTTGGTGTGTTTTTTTTTAGTAAGTAGGAAAATAAATATAACCTCGATGGCAAAACATGTTACTTCCGTTGGGCTCTCATTAAAACCAGAAACCATATCCTTTTGTGATATCAGTGTGAAGTGATCCGATTCTTGAGCATTTAAATCTGGTTTGAATTCTAACCAAGTCTAGTGATTCCAGATTTCAAAACAGGAAATCCATGATCAAACAGTAAACTAGTAAAAACTTATTATAAGCTCAGCATTATCTTTCATACTTGAACTCTTAAAAAATAGTATGTTATATTTCTACTTCCAAAGAGCCCTTAATTTAGTTGGGATGGGGTAGATTAGCCAGATAAATTGAAAGGGATCAATACAATTTGAGTAGTCAGGGAAGAGTTTATGGAGGGATGAAGGCTTGGGATAAGTCTTGAAAGATAGATAGGATTTTGATTAATTATTGGGAGGGGGGAAGACATATTAGGAGTGACACAAGTGAAAAATAAAGATATCAGTTCATTCTGTTTCTGTACAGTACTTTCTACTAAAAATTTATTCAGTATATCAAGCTGACATTTTCTTCCCTTAAACCCACCCATTGGGTGTGGTTCTGTTAAAAAGATAAAAACCTCAGGTCTTTCATACCACACACTTTCAATGATCTAAATGTAGTGGTCATGACACCCCGTATAATCTCCAGACTAAAGAAATTATTAATAACTTTAGCCATTTCTCATAGGAAATGGTTTTACTACTCTTCTTATCATTTTTGGGTTTTTTTTTTCATTTATATTCTCTTTTAAGCTTTAGGGATATCAAATTCCTATTAATGTAGGATAAAGTTTTCATGAGGGCTTTGGATTTTGTTTTGAATTCATATCAAACATGACCTAAAGACCCAACTCCTTCTTAGAGATATGGTTTTGTATTGGAAAGAAAACATTGACTTAACAGCAGCATGGGACCAATGATTATGAGTTGAAGCAATTCCAAATGGAATATGGGAATGGCCAGTGGTAAACTAGAAATGATCATCAGGGAATTGAGAGCCTGATCCTGCATAAGCTTTCTTAAGAAGAGCACACACAAGGGAAAATTCATGACTGAAAGGCTAAGCCTTAGGTAAAGCCTACGGACAGTACTGAGGTTGAAGAAAGAAGAATTGAGGAAATAAAAGGTGAGAGGCTCAAGGCAGTATTGTGTTCAAACAGGGAGAGTGTTTTAAGAAATAAGTATATGATAAATTACATTACTGACCCAAATTCTTCACTTTTCTGAGCATCCACAACTAGCTATGTGTTGACCACTTTGACAATAGAGTGTACTTTCCATCCCATAGCCCAGCCGTGGGCAAACTACGGCCCGCGGGCCGGATCCGGCCCGTTTGAAATGAATAAAAC